TTAATAATAATAACAATAACTTTTGATGAATCTATGAAATAATCTACTCATAAAATTCAAACGCGGACTTTTGGTTACTTAACGTCATTATAAATATTTTTAAACACTCTTATTTATTTAAATATGCACCATTAACTAGAAGTCACTGTTCTACAGACAGAATTTCCACTTTTAACTTGACGTACAATATAGACGTAAACTCGACGAACAAATTTTAAAACCATACCTAGTGACCTGTGTAATTAACAAAGGCAGATTTGCGACTTCTTAATACTAATAATAATATTATTATTATTATAGGACATCCTTTAATTTGAAAATGAAATGGTTAATATAATAATAATAATAGATATGGTTACACACTCGGAACGAGGCGGAACAAATCAGCGCCTACTTAGATGTTAGAATCAGTCACGCTTTAACTGTATTTACAGAAATTAGGAATACATCAATTTTCTAATAAAAATCCACTTCTCCAAACAAATTTGCGCTGAATCGCGAACCTCCCACGATGAAAGCTTCTCGAGTAATTAACATTTAAAGACTTTGCAATGACGTCACAATGCCTATTTCACGCCACCGAGTAATCATGTTATCTGCGCAAAGAAACTTCACAAATGTCAAGTGCGGCTTGTCATTTTCAAAGATGTGAAAATTTTTGCGGTTACGATTATTTTTACCGCACACAAAGACAAAGGAATCGATCGATGACGCATTTAGTTAACCCCGAACTGAAAATTTCTCAGAAGGTGCTCATTTTAACCGGCTGGAACAGATACCTGAGGAAAAATACATAACATTTTTGTGCACATGCTGCCTCGCAGGTTATTTCTCTCGTTCATTCAACACATTCTGCACAATTTTTCTTTTCTTTCAAAGAACGACGTCACAGAAGCGGCTGGGGAAATAATAAAGTTGCAAACAGTAGTGGGAGTTAAGACTAAAGCAAGTGTACTGAAATACATCGAATTCTGACACATTTGAAAATGACCGCGAAACTAGAAAAATTATTTGAAGTGAGTAAGAACAGTAAACAATTTTAAAATTCCAGATACCTTTCAATTACTAGAAATGTTTAACAATAAAATTAGTGTGTTTAACATTGTATTCAGCATTGTGAAAAGTGGGGAGAAGAGGTGTAACCAGCTCTTAAAGATACATAGTTGCATAGTCACTTCGAGATATCAGGTCAAGTCGAGTCAGGTTAGGTTAGGTTAGGTCTGGTCAGGTTAAGTTAAATCCTGGCAAACTGGACACAAGAAATGGGAATGTAAAGATCCAGATAGGAGAGACCTGTGTATCAAATATGGGGGAGAAGGGCACAGAGCAAAAGAGTGTGAAGAAGAAGCAAAATGTTTGATATGTCATTAAGCGAGGACATGCGCTAACGTCGATGCGATGCCCGGTAATGAGGAAAGCTCCAAAGGAAATGGAAACTATGGAAAACCTAGGAAAAGAACGAACTAGAAGACGGACTTCCAAAAGTCCACCTGGAAGAGACGTCTACTAAAAGTACTACAAAAAACTAGGAGGGGGCGGGACAATAAATGCCTGCCCCCCTAGTAGGCCCATAAAAACTCATAACGACGAGGGGGGGACAAACAAAAAAAAGAAGAGAAGATTATTATTATACAGACAAACCTTGAACATCAAAGCAAAAATGAAAGATATGAAAGTAGGGGAAAGGTGCCTAAAATGATCCCCCTAAGGGAGAAATTCTTTAAAAAATACAAATTATTATTATTCATGTAAAACTGTAGCATTATTTGTAAGAACATTGATTTATCTAGGTAACAGTATAAGCCAATTGGTGATTCGATAATTATAAAAAAAGTTATTAACGTTTTTCCAGGACCTTACAAAAGGATCATTTTAGGCATCCCCATAGGTAAAATGATCCCTCGGCATGGACATAATGATCCCTTTGAATTTTGACCATAAGGGGACAGCATCAACAAGAAAAATCAAATCATGACATAACTGATAAATATTTTATTTCAAAAATTAACAAAAAAATAAATTCTTAAAAAAAAATAAACAAAAAAGGTTTGAAAAGCACCGAAAATACGGGGTGTATAATTTCTGGAAGAGTTTGAGACAATACTTTAGTCATCAGTACGTGCTAAGATAAGACTAATTTTGCCAAATGGGATACCCTCCAAGAAAAGAGAGGGCGGGTGGGCGGGCCTACTACCTGCTAAGATAAAACTGAATTTGGCAAATGATATACCCTCTAAGAAAAGAGAGGGTGGGTGGATGGGTCTAGTAACTGCTAGGATAAGACTGAATTTGGCAAATGATATACCCTCTAAGCAAAGAGAGGGTGGGCGGGTGGGACTAGTAACTGCTAAGATAAAACTGAATTTGGCAAATGACATACACTCTAAGAAAAAAGAGGGTGGGTGGGTGGGGTTAGTAAGTACTAAGATAAGACTGAATTTGGCAAATGATATAGCCTTTAAGAAAAGAGAGGGCGGGTGGGCGGGTCTACTAACTGCTAAGGTAAAACTGAATTTGGCAAATGATATACCCTCTAAGAAAAGAGAGGGTGGGTGGGTGGGGTTAGTAACTGCTAGGATAAGACTGAATTTGGCAAATGATATACCCTCCAAGAAAAGAGAGGGTGGGTGGGTGGGGCTAATACTTGCTAATATAAAACTGATTTTGGCAAATGAGATACCCTTTAAGAAAAGTGACGGCGGGTGACTGGGATTAGTACCTCTTAAGACTGAGAATTTCCCAAAAATAGAACACGAAAATCCCTAAAATTCTTTTAAATTATTTAAATTTCCCCATCTTAAGAGGTACTAGCTCCACCCACCCTCCCTCTCCTCTCTTAGAGGGTATTTCATTTGCGAAAATCAGTTTTATTTTAGCAGGTAGTAGGTGGGTGGGGCTAGTAACTGCTAAGATAAAACTGGTATTGGCAAGTGGTATTCCCTCGAAGAAACTAAAGGGTGGGTGGGCGGGGTTAGAGGATAAGTCATCTGCAAAAATCAGTCTTATCTTAGCAGGTAGTAGCCCCGCCCACCCCCCCCTCTCTTTTCTTGGAGGATATGTCATTTGCGAAAATCAGTCAGCCCTCTAACAAGATAAAGGGCGGATGGGTCGAGCTAGTGCTTGGCAAGATAAGGCTGATATTGGCAAATAACATACATTCTAAGAAAATAACGGGCGGGTGGGTGGGGTTAGTACTTGCTAAGATAAAACTGATATTGGCAAATGGTATTTCCTCAAAGAAAATAAAGAGTAGGTGGGCGCGGTTAGAGGATATGTTATCTGCCAAAATCAGTCTTATCTTAGCAGGTACTAGCCCCGCCCACCCACCCTCTCTTTTCTTAGAGGGTATATGATTTGCAAAAATCAGTCTTATCTTAGCAGGTACTAGCCCCGCCCAATGATCTGGGATCATTTTGCCTCAAGAAAAAGGGATCATTTCGCCTTAGGTAGCATATCCGCATTCAAAAATTGTAAACTAACCTTCAATTTTTACATGCGGTAAAAAGATCATAACTAACCTTCGACTGAAATGTATCTAATTCTGTCAAAACAACTACCACCGCTATAAGACCTTTGAAATGGAAGTAATGGACTTTTAAAATATATCTTACCTTAGATCAGAGGTGCTTATTTTACATATTTTGGCACAAAACTGTGCAAAATACACAGAACGCCATCAAACTGTCAGAAGGTACTAATTACAGAGCGCTTAATCAAATGACAGTTATGTTTGGTAGATGGAGTCACAAATTTTCTTACAATTGATGGGGATCATTTGACCTGAGGGGATCATTTTAGGCACTTTTCCCCTATATGGTAAATAGAGGACGAGAGAGGACAGAACCTGATCGAGATGTTCGCCAGCAAGGACATGGAAATATTAAATAAAGGCAATACACCGACATTTCGAAGAGGAGATACAATATCCTACATAGACGTGACGGCCGTCACCGCCGGGCTAGCTAGAAGGGTGACACGACGGAAAGTTTATGACGACCAGGAAAACCTAAGTGACCATAATAACATCGAGATAGAAATAAGAAAAGAGCGGGAATATAACATCAGGAAAGAACAAGGAAGAAAGTGGAGAGCATCGAAAAAAAGAGAAAAAGAATTCAAAAAAGGGATAAGTATTTTGATAGACGAAAAAAAGCCAAAAGATACAGAGAAGTTAATGAAGATTACCACAACGACCTGCGGGAAAGTACTTACTAAGAAGACCATGGGGAAAAAAATCGCGGTGTGTATTAGTGGACGAAAGAAGCACCAGGGCGAGAAGTGTATAGAAAAGAGAAGGAAAATGCAGCGAATAAACGCAAAAGCTGGAACAAAACCCTGGGGAAAAGGGTATCAGATATAAATATAGACCCTTGTGTACGTTGGACACAATGGGGAAGCTATATGAACAGGTCATAGTCCCAAGGCTAAGAAAGGAAATGGAGGAAAAGCGAGCTGTCAGTGACAACCAGTACGAATTCAGACCAAGTAGGTCAACGGAGAATGCCATGGAGAAGGTCCTACAACAAGTAGAGGTGGAGAGGAAAGGAGAATACAGATACAATAACCTATACCTACTGGTGTCCCTGAATGTCAAAAATGCCTTTAGTAGTGCCAGGTCGAATAGCATCATCAGAAAAATAAAAAGAAGACAAATGTCGGTAGAATTGACGAGTGTGGTGCAAAGCTACCCCTCAGATAGATAGCTACGTGTCGATGGCCAATGAATGGAAATAACAACTGGAGTGCCACAAGGGTCCGTTTTAGGATCAGTACTATAGACGATTCTATATGATGACGTCCTGAAATTGGATATGCCAGAAGGAGTGACAATAATAGGATACGCAGATGATTTGGCGTTGGGAGTGGTAGCGAAAGACAATACGCAGATAGAGAATGCAACCAATAAAGCAGCACAGATAATCAAGAAAGGGCTGGACAAAGCGGGACTAGAGATGGCAACCGAAAAGACAAAAGCGGTAATACTTGAGGGATGAAGAAAGATGACAGAGCCGATAATAAGTATAACAGATGAAGAAATACACACTATAGAAAGAGCAAAATACCTAGGAGTGATATTTGGAAGGAGTTGTAGCTTTGCGGGATATATAGAAGCAGTAACCAGTAGAGCGGAAAGGAAAACGATGCAGCTAACCAAGTATGGGAGAACCGAGGGCCTCTATTAGGAAGCTACTCATGAGCGTGGCATATTCGATTGTATGATACGCAGCCACAATCTGGGGGAAAGTAACTGAAATAGAAAGAAACGCGGACAGATTGAGGAGACTACAGAGAAAGATAGCCTTGAAGGTCTCTGCCGGATATCGGACCACATCCACTGACACGCTGCTAGTGGTAGCGGGGATGCCCCCGATCGAACTGATAGAAGAAGAGAGGGCAAGAAGAGCTAGGAAGGAAAAAAATCGGTAGAGGAAGAGAAACATGAGACAGTGAAGAAGTGGCAGAGGCTATGGAGTCAAAGCAATAATGGGAAATGGACGAGGAAACTGAAACCAGACGCGACACTATGGTATTGTAGAGCCCATTGAGAGATAAACCACTTCTTGACACAACTATTAACAGGCCATGGAGATTCTAACCAGTACCTCCACAGAATAGGGGAGATTCCCAGCGATGTGTTAGTGTGGAAGCGAAATAGAGACATCAGAGCATCTATTTCTAGAATGCCAAAGATGGCGTAGCGAAAGGAAAAATATGAAACAAAAAATAGGCTCATATTATTAGGAGAGAGAAGCAATGGGACGCGGTGAGTGAGTTTGCGACAAGGGTTCTAAAGAGGAAAATAAATGAAGCAAGAGATGCCAACGCGATTCCGGGGGAGTGAGAGAACAGCTGGTCGAGGAAGTGGTTTTAGCCGGTAAAAGTTCTGGTACTACCAGGGACGGTCCAGCCTAAGTCCGTGGTGCTCATGAGGGTTTCCCTTTCATAGAAAAAAAAGGTCAGGTCAGGTCATGCAACGATTCACTAAAAAGGAAAGGTTCAAGATCAAATTAAGTAAACCCATATTTTGCAGTTTTGGTGCAGAAATTGTCCAAACTCTGATTAAACCGAGCCGCAAAAACTACTCATACTGGATGAGAAGGAAATCAAGGATTTTGACCAGGTCAGGTCAGGTAGGAAGCTAGTAAACAAAAGTCAATAATATTAATTTGAATAGTTTAACTCTGAAGATTCAAAGCAGATATCGTCTAAAAGTTGTCAGAAGAAGGTAGACGGAAAACTGAACTTGTGAAACACCAATGCAGTTTCAGTGCAATACGATGGTCTGTAATTTTGTGACCGCTCTAACCGTGTTGAATGACTGTTCTTGCTTGATACAACAATCAAAGATAAAAGCAAAAGCGTACTTATGACAAGAGGGCTTTAAGCACATAATCACCCGTTGTTAGTTTTTTGTCAACTTTATCAGGTTGTAATAGTAATATTGACCAAACTAATAACATAGAAAACACAGCGTAGCATAATAAATTATGTAATGAGCAAAGTCAATAGGGGAGTGCTTTGACGCTCTTAGTGTGAATAGAACGTCGGTCAACTTGACATCATCTATTTTAGTACGAAGGTGGAGACTGCTTGAAATGTAGCTGTAATCGTTTGTTTCATAAAGAACACACAAGAAAGCGAAATTAACGACACCCGCACACGACTATAAATATAAAAGAATAAGCGACAAAACCGGTGAAGTATGGAATGCATTAGGCAAATTCTTGTACGGCTGAGCGGAGGACAATTGAGAGTTACCCTCTACAACCAATAGGCAAGATATAATCCGATTTAAGTTTTATAGCATTTTTTATATAGAAATACGTAGTATTTATATAAGGTGGATTGATGGTGTTTTCACGATCTCGGCAATAATTTCTCTGCGCTACGCTTTGTGCTAATATGTTCCGTCATCAAAGATAAAAATTATTTATCGTAGGGGTGCACAGTTTCCATCAGTTTCCCTTTTATTAGCACAAAGGTGATTCGGAGCAAGGCACAATAAAATATTTTATCGCGACTCCTATTTAAATTTCTTCCGAGCGTTGCTTTATGTTCGGTGTATAATCTTTTCTTTCCATAACTATATACTCGGTTTAGGAAATTCGCTTTTTATGTTGGCCTTATTTCGTCGAACCTCACTGTACACCCTAACCGTCTTATCTCTTCATAAAACTGTGTCTCGACTAGAGACAATTTTGGGTGTTATTGTCAAAAATGACAATTCTCATACTTACAGCACCCACTCGAGGCAAAATTGGTTCAGATTGCCTACTATTTCTCAAATTTCAAATTTTACAAAAACACGAACTGTGAGCGGATCGATTGTGAATTCATTTAACAGTCATCAAAATTTGAATTGTTGTTCGCAATTGCCAATAAAACGTGATTATAGAACTGGAACAGGCTTCCTTATTAAGCTGGCAGTTCATCATGGTTCGATTACAGCTGTAAAACCAATGCTGCACTTCGATATGCAGTTTAATATTAATCTGATTCGTTGATAAGTCCGATCGTATACATTGCAGATACAAATCATTCGTTATTACTACGAATACGTCCATAATTTTATGTAAATATGTTCATAATAAATGCAAGCGCTGCGATGCTAAATCACCCCGAATAATCCCATGATCGCACTAAAAATGTTCCGTCAAATGTCCTTTAATTCACCAACAATTCATAACTATCATATTTTTTTGCTTGGACAACATCAAATATCGACGCGTTTCGCCAACAAGATTGGCATTTCAGCGCAGTTTTGGCAAAAATACAAACAATATTGCAACAGTATGCATAATGTAAACATAAATAAGTATGTGTATTTTTTTAAAAGGTTAACGGATTTCGCGGAACAGAAAACTATATACTTAGTGGTTTCCCACTTGTGTACCTTTGTGACATCTATGCAATTGCAACTAACAGTTCTTCCGTGTTTATTCAATACATCGATATCTTATTATCTCAACAAAGTTTTGCTCCATGATTATAGTCAGGTTATGTGTTCGTCTATTTGACATATCAATTTATCTTGTAATGGAATTGTTTGTTTCACATAGTTCTAGGGAATGCAGCACTTGGTTTCCTATTAAAATTTCAAATACAGTGAACATACCGTTTTAAGTACTGCATTGTTTATTACTTAGTAATTTCTCACTTCTGTCGTCCTTGAAACGCCACTGTGTGTACGTCATCAATTTCCGAATGAGATGAATAGACAAATTTTGATAAGCGTTTAGCGATTAACCGCTTGCATAAATAATACAAATGTGTTTTAGCAATTTAGATTTTACTAATGCATTTCGTATTTCTTAAATATCTATAAATCTGATGCAGTGCTTAAACTCTTAGGTATCGTATGTTATAGGGTGGGGAAATGTTTTTAAGATAACAATACCACTCGCGAATACTTGTCTCAAAGGAATGCTTCGAGTAGAATTCAGGGTGATTTAGGGATGTAAATTTCTAAAAACTCTCTGAGCAAGCCATATAAATTGTGTTAAAAGGTTTTTTGCCATGTATACGAACGCATAGAGCGATATGAAATAAATTAAACGAAGGGGTTCCGCATATTTAGTGACCGAGTGTGTTCATTGAGATAGGATCAAGTAGATTGTACCTTCGAGTATGATCCGTTGGTCAAAGTAATATTTAATTAAAGTAGATGCGGACATGGCGAGCAATGTGTTGTAGAATCAAAATATAGAACTGAAACCAATTAAATTCTGAATGATCCTACTACACACGCATATTGTGAGCAACCACTAGAACTATGGAGCGATTTGCGCCCTCAATGCAATAGTGCCCTTCTATATCGATGGGACAGTTGGTGGCGGCTGTGGGAATGGGGAATCCGATCACCACAGTAATGCTTCTAAATCGTGCTATGTCCGAACGTCCAGTCCCTTTATGCATATTGGAAATTGAATCTGGCCAATATCAATGCAATGCAGGCTTTCCTGCTCTTCTGACAATGCATTATATATCAGCTATCCCGCTTTACTGATCCAGCATCCTGCATCGATTTAATATGTCACAGGTCTGTTTACCGACCGAACAGATTATTCAAACTTGTCAACCGCAATTTATTCGCCACTAATCTTTTCGAAATAAAATAAAGATATTGGATTTGCACTTACACACCAATGCACTCTGACTTTATCAATTTTATATTTATTAAAATATCGTCAAATCCTATTCATACTAAATAAAAAAACACCGACGATAAAATTCTCGGACGCAGCAAGTCTAAGTCGTGAAAGCAAATATACACCGGACACTATAATACAGTATTACACATGTGTGTTGAACCGCATCTTCAAATTCGTGGTCTTATTGTAAAATATCAACAAAATCCACAACATAATAATCTAGTATCAAACAGCCAGATAATAAGACCACTTAAACCAGTTTAATCTACTTAATGAATTTGTTTAAGTGTCTTTAAATTTAGATATACAAAGTTTTTCTTTTTTATTCTTATTGTTATGATTTTTCTAAAAAAATATGTTTGTTTGTGGGAACGAGATGGCAACTTTTGCCGCTCTGCCGTTAGAGCAGAACATCCCTATAAAACTGGGGGAAGTATCGTTGGCAAAATAATAAAACCCCAGCGAAAAGAATAGTTATGGATGGTTTAAAAGGCAAGTGAAATCTTTGGATGTAGCCATATGTCCCATCAGACGTCGTATAGCAAATTCGTAATTCCTATTTATGGCGCCTTCCGAGTAGTCCACCCGTACGTCAAGCAAAGTGCTCTCTTCAGAACGACACATTTCTGAAGCATTTATGTATGTCTAAAGCGGAAAACGCGATTGCACATAATCCCTTTGTCATTTCACTTCCGTTTCTTTATTGATCGTATTTCTTTATCACTCGAAATTTGCAGTATTTTCTTATTTCCATATTTTCGCTGCTACATTACTATAATATAAATGTTTATAGCACCACAGCGGGTGAGTGTATGTAAAATTTTAATACGGTTAGCATCAACAACTAAACGTTTATTTAAGCAAATGCTGGGTCTGCGCTGAATCAGGAACCAACAAACGACTAATGCTTAGTTAGTGCCAGCACTAATTAGTCCAGTAATTATTAACGACAAAGATTCATCTTCTTTTCCGCTATTAATGCAGCAAACACAAATTAATTTTATTGCAGGCGAACTACTTGAGGATGTAATAAAAATGAAACTAAACTAACCACCACAAAAATCAAATCATAACAATTGCACACAACAACTGTTATAAAGCAGCTTTGTTTCCATAATATAACATGTGACATGTTTACAATGTAACTATTCTTGTGTTGTGCATAATTGACACTCACGTTATATACACATAACATATATGTGTCTAGGTTATATGATTTTTTTAAAACCTGCACGCAACTGGGTCATACCCCATATTTATATATTTCGTCTTGGAATCGTCATAAGTCAGTCCACAATACAACAAAACTTAATTATCAGTGAAACGATCTTCTCGTCAATTTTAAGCACGTAATGAAAGCCAACGCCAATTCGCACATAATTAAACATAACCGACTACCGTAGAGAAAATTGTATCGATACTTAACGATCTTCTTTATTCGAAAATAATTGCTCGTAAATCGATATAAAATTTAAGCTAAATTGTTTCCTTTTCCTTTCCGCAGACCTATGACAAACAGTAGGGGAGTAACTAATTGCATCAAATTT